GGGACCCGTTCTCCTCGATCTCCGAGGAATTTCGGAAGCTTCCATCCGCGGCGGGAAATAATCGAAACTCTTCGATTAACGGCGAGAAAACGGAAGCGAGCCCGGAAGTGAAGGGAGAATCCCCGTTCCTCTCGATCGCGCTCCGAATTTCCTGCTCGATTCGTTAATCCTCTCCGGTTAATCGCAATGCTCGCACGTTCAGGCCCCGAAAGAGAGAGGCGCGTGATAAAGGGGACAGGTGGGGGCAGTGGAGAACGAACGATCGCGTTACGCGGGGCCCCGAGTGCGAACTTGACACCGGCAAGGACGCGTTTCGAAAGGAGGAAATAAAAAATACTCCGATGGCCCCGGACCGTTAAAGGACGCGGCGGACTAGGCTCGCTTCGAGTCAGCTGTTGAAGACGCGCGAACAGGCGATCGCCGAATAAATCATCGGGTAAAAGGATCCCGCGATCGATAGGCAACTCGACCTCGACCGATCGCCGCGGGAATTAACGAACGTGTCTTCGCGGAATCGCGAAATCCGCTAACGGGACACGCGTTTAAGGTTACCCGTCGTACCTGCTGTCCGATTTTTCGACGCGCCTCGCTCTTTTATTCGTGGATCCGCCGATCTTTTCGATCTTTTTGCCGGCCTTTGTGGAAAGTCCGCTGAGACGCGGCTAGAGGCGGTAGTGGTTCGGCTTAGCTCGAGGAACGGGACTGTGGTTTATTAATTCTGAATTTAAGCATTCGGCGATTGTGTTTTATTTCTAAATGACGAATCGATGAAAATAGAGATGTGTAAATGAATTTTTTGGAAGCTTATTTATTATAATAAACTGTTTACTAGAAACAAGTAAATTACCTTGTTGAGATTGAAATTATGGACCGATAGACACTTAGGCACTGAACAACACTAAATTAAGCAGAAGACCAATCATCCAGCAAACAATTAATATTCTAATACTACATTCCAGAACTTACATTTCCAATTTCCTATCTTTTATTTTTTGAAAGCTTATTTATTAGAATAAACTGTTTACTAGAAACAGGTGAATTAACTTCTTGAGATTGAAATTATGAACCGATAGACAATTAGACACTGAACAGCATTAAATCAAGCAGAAAACCAATCATCCAGCAAATGATTAATATTCTAAAACTACACTCTAGAACATACGTTTCCACTTTCCTATACCCAAGTTTCTCCGAAAAGCTACACACGCCAATTACAAAAGAAAAGGAAGACAGACGTATACCTCAAGATCGTCGCGCGGAACAACGAGCTCGTTTCCGTTCGAAACGGCCGCGCGCCGCGGCCTTTCCTACCGCGACGTTTCCGCGCAACCGCACAATATGTCGCGGATACGTAGGTACGCTCGAGCAGATCTCGCGCGTTGATTCGTTCCGCTCTGTTCGTTTCACTCGTCGCCGATCGCCTCCGTGGACAATTTCTCGATCGAGTATCCGGCTCGCCTTCGGCGCGGCCGATCTAAAACCCTCGGCGCTGCTCTCCGAGTCGAAATTTCTGGTTTCCGGTGTAGCGAACGAGAGAACCAGCGAGCAGCGAGCCCATAACGGTCCGTTGCTCCCGTCATCGATCATCCGTGAAACCGATCCAGTCCAGAACGATATTTCGCCCGGCGAGAAATTAATTTGTCGACGCGGCCCAACACTGTGGACGGGAGTCTGGCTTTGACTAAATTATTGCTATAACGGTTGTAAATTTGTAACGGTTTGAATCGCGGCCGCATAGTTCCGCCTGCCGGAGCGTAGTCTCTCTTTTCCTCCGGGGCCCGTGCACGAAATTGCGGAACGTCGCCGAGACGCGGTGTCCCGTTCGCGGTATAGTAATCCGCTCGAGTTTCGTCTCGACGAGCTTCGAGAGTCTCGGTACAACTTCGACCTAATTCGTAATCAAGTTTCCTTCGGAGACGACTCTGCTATCCAGCTTCCAGGGTTCGTCAAAAATAGGATTCGTCGAAATTATAACCAGTTTCTCGAACTTCAAAAACTCGAGTTTTTCTTGTATCTTGACACGTTCACCGCCACGAGAAACATCAGCGTTCTATGCAGCACTTATCCTTTCTGTAGTAAAGACACAAAGCAATTATTGTTATGTTATGTTATTTAGTTATTTACGTTACGGAAAATTTCTATTTAAAATCAATTATCTTCCAAATCAATTATTATCTTATAATTTGAAAGCTCCGGTCATCAGCGACAGTGGCAGTCAAAGTTAATCGAATGTGACACTAATTCTTTGATATAAAAATTCTTATACTACCCTGTTATCTAGTTATTTACGTTACGGAAAATTTCTATTTAATATCAATTATCTTCCAAATCAATTATCTTGTAATTTGAAAGCTCCGGTCATCAGTGACAGTGATAGTCAAAGTTAATCGAATGTGACACGTTTCGCTTATAAAGGTTCGAATGGAATTTGTTGCGATTGCTTGTTGGAAAATCTTTAATCTTGTTTTGTGGGTTCTGCATCGGTTCGAATCGTCTCCCATATTTAGAGCCGACGTGAATCGAATCCTTTTTCATTCACCGTTCGTCGCGCCCACGTGTTTACGAAGTGACCGGGTTAAGGCTCTTAGCGGGTTAAGAAGATGTAATGAAAGGAAATCCCTTCTGTCGAACGGGCCGAAGCAGGAAGACCTCTTAGAAGTGTAACAGCAGTCGGCCCGACCTGCAGACGCCGGGCACCGGCGAATCGGATCATCGACATCCGCGTAAAAGCGTTATCCTTCGAAGGCCGTGGATCGTTGCCGCGATCCTGGGGCGTGGCACGGACCGATCCGTCGATCCGAGAAAGGAATCCGTCGTTTTACGTAACAATCTCGAGCGATCCGCGAGCCTGACAGGAAACCGACCGCCTTGCGTCGCTGCTCGCGTGTCCAGCACTGTCTCCTGACTACTTCCGTCGCGTTCCCCCGGCGCTACACCTTCGTCCTTTACCCGGACATCGATTAGAACGATGAAATCTCGAGGAAAACTGTGACAATGCGATTTGAAACGAAGCTTGACCGTTCGCGGATGAAATCGATCGACTCTACTCTCAGAATCTTGTCGAATTTCCGAAAATATCTAATTAATACGTTGACTGCCACGGTGGTCACCGATGACCGGAGCTTCCAAACTGCTTGAAAACAATTATAATAAGAAAATTGATTCATTCGAAATATTTAGTGATATCAGAAGCTAGATAATAGTGTGACACGAGTACCGTAATACTAAAATAAATACTAAATAATCATTTCTAATACTATTTTCCTCCGTTATAAAGGAATAAATTCTACTATAACAAAACGCTCGAAATTCTCGTGTCGGTAAATTAATTGATTCTTCGAATGTTTTCTTCGATTGTTAAAACGTCTAATTCGTTTATTCGAATGTTTCAAATTCGATTGCTGAACTAGTCAATTCGTTCTTCGAATGTTCTCTTTAATTCCTAGAACGTCTAGTTCATTCATTCAAATTTTTCAAATTCGGTTGCTGAATTAATTCGTTCATCGACCGTTTCCAAACGTAACTTTTCAAAACGCTTCACGAGTCCTTCGAAAAGTGACATCGTCAAGTTTGTCTAGATTTCGAGAACGTAACCACCTCGGCGATTGAATAGCTCAATTCTCCGGTGACTCCCGTGAATTACTTGTCGCCGCCTCTGCGTTCCCCTCGCTCTCCGCTCCGCTCCGTGCAGAAGACGACTTTATCGCGCGGAAGGATCGCGCAGCGGATCCGAATCGCTCGAAATTACGGAATCCGGCGAAATCCTGGGCCGGATGGGGTCGGCGCAATTAAACCGAAATTGGGAATTATCAACGGGAGGCGGTTGCCAGCGGAGCGACGGGGGAGAGGAGGGTTTAACGGAGAGGATTCAGTTTGGAAAGGACACAGCGCCGGGAACCGGTCCCCGGTGTGTAAAAGTCACTCAGCGAGCGTGATCCTCGCCGGAGCGCCGCTGACGCTCGGTTTCGTGGAATCGGCCGGAAGTGGCGTGCGCGCGGAATACGTTTCCTCGAGGTGTATCAATCGGCTTAGGACAAATTAGAACGCGGGCCGCGTCGGTATCGATGCAACGCAGCGTTTAGATCGGGGGAAGGGAAGCGTCGTCGACGACGACGACGACGACGACGACGGTGAAGAGTCTCTTCTTCCCTGTTCGCGGTGGAGGAAAAAAAAGACGAGGCATTTAAGGCTGCCTAGACCGAGAAAGAACGGACTACCGTACAAAGAGAGCCGAGAGACACACTCACACGCGTGCACACATGCACGGGTTCCGAGTGGAGAGCGAAAAAGGAGCGAGGAGA